AAATGTATGTATTTTAGATGTCATGAGTACACACCAGTGCCTTCCATTTTAGTCTATTCTCCTGGAGTTATTTTTTTGTCTTTTACCATTCCATGTTTGTGTGTTCTGTCTTCCACAGAGAAAACCTCAGCTCCCAACAATATCAATACATTTACTCATTTGCTCAATCCTGAAATATATTTAAAAATACTTTCAGGATTGCTTTGCCTATACCACTGTGGTAGTAAGCAAACCTAGTAAGAAGAGTTGGAGATTTGTTTATAATTATTTCCTTCTTGCCTAAGACTGAGGGTATATTAGTCAAATATTGTGTTCATAAGCTACTTGGATTAGTTCTTTAATCCTTTGCATTTTCCTTTACTTTCAGTGTGGTCATGTTATTCTTTTGAAATAAAATTAGGCTTATTTTAGTTTGCTTTCAAGTATAGGTTCCTCCTCATTCCCATTCTTATTGTTTTAATTTTGTTTTTTGAATATGTAGACTATTAACATGCTCTCAAAAATCAAAACTATACAAAACTTATCCTATTTTAGTTTGATTCCCACCTCCCCTTTTATGAAAGAAAAAGATATATAACTAGCAAAAGGCCATTTATTGTACCTATGTTCAGTTTTGTTGTTGTTATTTAAAATAAATTTTGTCTGTTGAGATGAAGATTATAAAGGAACTTAATTTTTGGAAACATACTTGAGGTTCAATGATTTGTAACTTTGATTCCCAGGGACAGTGATTCTCAATGGTTTTGCCATTCCAGCACACCAGGTTACTGTCCAGTGTTTGTGGTAACATTCACTGCTTGCTGCAGGGATCGGGTGGAGGTGGGGTGCTTTCACCCACTTTGAGAATGCTTGCTACAGGGTTAATGAGAACATTAGAACCTCCCAATTACATTGGTCAGGGAAAATCAGAGACTCCTATAATACAAAAGACCAGTGACTATGTAATAAGACAAAATAATTAAATCAAGCAAGTAAGAACAAGAATTTTAGTTCTAGATTAATATAAGCAAGAAAATACCACCTTAGTGTCTTGACTGTACTGCCTTAGATGCACCTTCCTCTATTTGTTTTCTCACCCAGGTGCTTGAGTGGGAATTCTGTAGCTTAATGACATTCTCAGCAGCATGTCTGAAAAGTCACACAACTAGATGATTTATACCCATCCTTATGTGCCATTCCTAATAATGTGTATATAAATCTTTAATGCAAGATGAAGCTGTGGTGCACGAGTTATAATTTAGCTGGTTGAAAGAACTAAAGGTATCTTGATGGGAAGTGTCATAATATAGTTATGTTTTTTTCTCTTTGCTACAGCCTTAATACAGATCCTTGCAGCTGCTGTAGCTGAGCGAGATGTGGTTTATTTCACCTTTGGGGACTCAGAATTGATGAGAGACATTTACAGCATGCACACTTTCCTCAGGGAAAGGAAACTGACTGTTGGTGAGTAGGAGATAGTCTTGACACTGGTATATAGATGGAACATCTGCTAAATCTGGATGGACCACAGTGAATAAGAAAAAATGAAAGTGTGATGGGGGGAGAGGGGGCAACATTTGTAGAATCAGTCTTTCTGGGAAAGCATTATCCACAGTTTTGAAAGAGCATGTTAGCTTATTAAAGTAAGGCCAAGAAGCTGGATTGATGTCCATTTTTATGTTTGTGTATAGAAAACTAAAAGAGGGAAGCTGTGGGAGGGTAAGTTCAAACCTAAGTGACCTCACTGAGTCGTAATTTCTGAGATGTGCCAGCGTGCTCAACTGGTGTGTTTCAGCTGCACGCGAGAGCCTTGCAACTGTGGAAGCTGAATGTAAAGTCAGAGTTGTCACAAACTCCCAAAAAGATGCATGGAAGATGTACTATGTGTGCCCTAATAAGTAGTTTCTTTAAGGTATTTTTAAAAATTTTATCTTTATGTCAGGAAAGCCTTTCAAGCATATGAAATTCCTACTCTATTTTCGGAAGTCACATTTAAGCCTATGTTATTTAGATTAAGATAAAATTGAGTGTTCTTTAGTAGTTTTATCCTTCTCCATCCCTTAATGTGCAAATTGGTCTGATCTTTTATTCTCCAGGAGAAGTATATAAGCTGTTGCTACGATATTACAATGAAGAATGCAGAAACTGTTCCACGCCTGGGCCAGACATCAAGCTTTACCCGTTCATATACCATACCGTGGAGTCCTGTGCAGAGGCCACCAGCCAGCCAGGACAGAGGACCGGGGCCTGAGGAGCGCAGGGAACAGGACTGCCTTCCTCCTCTTAGCAGAAAATTCTGTTTGAATTGTCGGGTGTAATATATAAACTGACTTAATATAAATGTGTATATAATCCACACTTGTACGTAAGGATGCAATCCCTTCCACACACATGCATTTGTCAGTTTGTATACCTAAGCCGCCTCCATCCTGACTTATGTAGGCTTAGATGGATTTTCTTTCCATTTTTTTCTATTTCAGTCTTCATTCTTTGATTGTTTTTTCTTTTGCCCCTCAGGTTTCTTGTAAAATCCCATGAACGTTTGTGCTCAGCCTGTTAGGTTTTTGATGCCTGTATATTATACCAATTGTCTCTGCAGCTAGCAGATGGCAAGGATGCCAGGGAAGAAGTTGAAATCCAAGAGTCCCTTTAACTGGTTTTGCTAAAGATCTCCCCATGAGCCTTTCACTCCCAACTCTTGTTATGGTTGTGTTTGAGTTTTTCAATTTTGAAAATTAAGAGTTGGGGTTTTAGTCATACATGTTACATAATGCAGATCTCCTAGATTAAAACAGTTTTGTATTTAAGACAGAATATTTTCCAAAAATAGTTCCTTTATCTGTTATGGTTTGTCTGTCCTTTTTTCACCTGATCAGTTTTTATTGATAATGTTTTTGGAAACTGACCAAGATGGAAGGAAATAGAATAAAAGAGACTTTTCCCCAAATGGTGTTAAAAAAAGAGATTCAAGAGAGTTGAAGGATTTTGTTGTTTTGGGGGATTTTTTTTCTTCTTAAATTAGGATGATTGTTTATTCCTTGGTGCTTTGAGGCATATTCATATAACCAAAGTTTAAGAACTGGGAACTTTGTGCTGATTGTACATATTGAAATTTCTCTGGTATTTAAAGGTTATATAGTTAATAAATTTTCATTAACAGTCTTTTGTCAGAAACTCCCTTATCATCTATATTTTATATATATAAATATATGTTCTTTAAGTATGTCTCTGTGCAAGCACATAAAATCTAAATAAAATTGGAGTTGTGGGAGATGATTATGTTTAGGCTTTATCAGGGGCTCTTTAAAATCTTTTACTTACAATTGCATTCATTAAAACTGGCAAAAAACATAAATAATAATATCTTTCAAAAGTGAAAGTGAAAGCCAATATCGATTCTGTGTTAATGGAGAGTAGAATTTAATCATAAAAGCGCTTATTTTACTGTTAGAAGTTCTAGTTTAGTCAACTGTCAGGAAAAACTATTGGAGGTCAAATCCTATTAATACGGAGTTTTGGTAGACAGTCCAAACTCCTGGTATCAGTACTGGTGGGAAAAAGTAGGGCTTGGCCAATGTCTATAACTCCTTTGGTTTGTATAGAGATTGAGCAGATAATGGAATTTGGTACCTGAAGGCAGCCAGTTATCATTAACGAAGTTCTCTGCCTTAGTAACTAAGATTTAAATCACCTTTCTAAGTCTGAGATGTCTGGCTGGTATTAAGGTCTTTTCTTTCCTTCCCAGCCTATTCTGTGCTTTCGTAAGCATTCATACTTATATTTTCTTTTTTCTGTCTCCATATTTCTTCCCTGTTACCCAACCCCAAGACTAAGGAAATAGTTCTTTAAAACATTGCATGAAAAGCATAGAATGGTTCATGTGGTAGGTAACTCATTCAGTCCAGGTTAGAAGACCGCCCAGCCTATATTCCAGAACAGGGAATCTGTGACTGCTCTTAATGCTGGGCAGGCTTGGTGACCTGGCCTTCTAACTGACTGCTTCTCTCGCTATGGAGGAGTTTCCAAGAGTAACACCTGCCTAGTTCTTTGTTCCAGTCCACTCTAGGATTGGGACAGTTTGATCAGATGGAACACTACAAGAACTAATGTCCATGTTTTGAGGAGGGAGAAAGTTGGAGGGAACATGATTATTTTGTTATGTGAAAAGAAAAAAAATCACACATCTAATTAACATTTGTATCTATTCTAAGACATTTAACAGCACCTTTTATTCTTTTTAATTTGGGGTTTATTGGTTTATTACATGTGTTTATCCCTCCCTTTACTCTATTGAGGCATGAAAGGATATTTTTAGTTTAGAATTCTTTTTAACATAGTTCACTTGCTTTTCACTTTCTCTCTAGCCCACTCAAATGTACAATAACAGTTTAAGGAAACAATGTGGAGGAATGGAAAGGGCCTGAGATTTTAAATCAGACAAACTGGGTTCAGATGCTAGCCACGTCTCTAGCTAACATTTTCACCTGTAAACAACTGAATTTCTGAGCCTTACTTAACTTATCTAGAAAATGGGCTATTAGCACTTACCAGGAAATACTGTATATAAAGCAACAGTCATCGGGCCTGGCACACATGGCACACACCTACTGTGCTCTATAGTTAGCTACTGTGCTGAGTTGCTTTACATATTTGCTTTACACATTTTTCCAATGAGCTAACAACAGATGCCCAGAGGTTAGGAAATACCATCTCAACCTCCGGGAGTTCAATAGGAAAGGAGACTCGCTGTTTTGTCTCTGAAGGGGATCTGATTGAGCAAAGGCTCTGATACTCTTGATCTCTACCAAGTTCCTAATTCTCCATCATGAATGACTAGTTGTCAGTGGAGTAATTTAAATTATCGCTGAGAGAATTATCTCTTCCTTTGCTGAGGGAAGTGACTTTAAAGGCAGGCAGACCAAATCGGTATTTAAAAGAGATTGAGGGCCGGCCGAGTGGCGCGTTGGTTAAGAGCTGGTTTGGGACGCCAGTGGGCCCCGGTTCGGATCCCACATATGAGGGCCAGTGACACTGCCCTCTACAGCTAAGATGCTGAACAACAGCTCGACCTGGAGCTGGGCTGCCGTGAGTCGCCGGGGGCAATGTAGGCTGCAGCCCCTGTGGCAGTGGGTTGCCATGGGCTACCGTGTGTGGCCAGCAGCCCAGCATGAGCGGCCAGCAGCCGCCGTGAGCAGCCGTCCAGAAGCCGGCGACTGATGTGCCTCACCCGGGAAGAGCGCAATGATGGTGCCAACTTGGGCCAGTGAAGCAACGTCCTCCACAACTAGACTAAAGAACAAAAAGGACAGCAATTTGTCTGTTCCTCTTCCCCGAATTCCCCATCGCTGTTCCCATCCCCCCAATTCCCCAATAAAAACCTTTAAGAAATGAAAAAATAAAAAAAATAATAAAAGAGATTGAAAAGGAGATCTAAGCAAGCTCCATGATTGCTGTGCTGGTACTTAACCAATGTAATTGCTTGGGAAACTAAGTATTGATTAAGCTCTCTCACCCCAAGAATATGACGGTGCAAAGAATTCCTTGGGTTGAAGAGAAGCAGTTACATAGTCTCACATGTTTTCTTCTGTCTTCTCCAGTCTGTGTGGCTGTATGTTCATGGCTTTTTTTCTGATGTAAGGACGATCTGAATTCTAGTGTGTCTGCTTTGAAAATAAAGATTTAGAAGTCCTGTACTTTCTTCTGTCGACCCTGTGGATCAGCCCCAATTCTTTGTCTAGACGGAAGGGAAAGTACTGGCCATTCCTGGAATTTGAGCTCAGAATATTTAATTCTGTCCTTTGGGGCTGGGCCGATACTTACTAGAACAATGATACTTACTAGGACAACTGCTAAAATCCGCTGACCCACTGCTGTTCTTTGTGCTACAGCAGAGCGCCCTTGCTGCCCTCTTACCGGATCCCACACAGATCACTGAGCCTTCAGAGGGGGGAGGGTTCCCAAACAAGACAGCCAAACTGTGTGTTCGTTTCATCGCTGGATTTATTTTTTCTGACTGTATATTTTAAGTGTAAGATTACTATGTCATGATGACTTTGAACTTGGGGATAAGGAGAGTTGTGCTAATATTTACATGATTTTTGTAGGAAGAGAATAAAGAAATTCTGATCTTCTTGTCATCACCTCTTTTTTTCTCAATTATGCCACTTTCGAGATTTCATGTGCATGCTCTCATTTAAAAATTTTAGAGTGTGTCTTGGGCATTTGGTGAAAATGTTTACATGTAGATTTGTTATTCCACATTAGGTGTTAGGCATGTAGAGATGGTCATTGGCATGAGGAACATCCAAAGGTAAAGAGAATTCTGGCTGCATTAGTTTTCTTCCTTGCCAGGTTCCTGAGGTCATGTTTCCTGGTGTTCATTGCCCTTTATTAATTTTCATCTTGCCTCATAAGAGTTCAAATCAGGAACAGGGAAGATGTCTTGAAGGTTCTGAGGACACTGTCCTTCCATCCATTCCCATATCTGTAGACACTTATGAGTGCCATCTCTGGGTGATCCCTGAACTCTGTGCACTGATACAAAGACGAATGACTTGTCCTCTGCAGTCAGACCAAAACCAAGATCTGAAAGAGAGGTTAAGTGATCTAAAACCCTACAAATAGCATTTTCTTTTCACCGCGCTGTTCCAATTCAACCTAGAAAAACAAATTGAATTTTTATGCTACCAATTTAGAAACCTAAATAGACCTCTGCACCATGTCAGTTCACTATAGTGAGCTCCCTTACACAATTTCCTCTGTAAACAAATGGCCTAACATAATGTTCAGCTGGGCTACCTATAGGCCCTTTCTTGCTTCATTCAGTTCCTGCTATCTTGATGCCTGCCATCTTGAGTTCCTGCCATATCGATTCCAGTGGTTCTTGGATTCTGAGACATTAGCACTGGAAGCTAAAAAGTAGATTTACTAACAGAAGTGTCCTTTTTATCTGTAGGTGAGTCCATACAATGTAGGTAAATGGTCACGTTTCTTTAATTTTAGCTGGAATCATTGCCTCAGTCTGAACACTACACATTTAATCGAAAAATGAAGAAAATTAGCTTACCAAATGAATTTTACTTGCTATCAAATTATTTCAAAATATGGGGATCTTGGGGATAAAAGGGGTCCTTGGTGGAGAGGAGGTGGAGACCATCATGTCAGAATGTTGTATTTTCTATTAAGGTTTGTAACAGTAACCTATAAACTTAGATACAAAATTTCAGTATTTGGGAAGAAATATACTCACTATAGAATTGGTAATAGCCTAAAATGTATACCCTAATGTGCTCTTGAACATGTGAAGCACGATATTTCAGAGTATTCATTTATTCCACAGATAACGTATTTTATTCCAAAATGAACATTTTTTTCATATGTGGCATCTGAAGTCCAAATACTTCTAAAAATTGATGGTATATCATAATCTTAATTTGCAGTAATTTTTTTAAAATGTACATAACACAAAAGGTATTTTATAATCTATGACATCTTATATTTGAAGAAACATGGTAATTCGAATGTCACTTATTGATGTGCCAGCCAGTTTTAAGCTTTGGAGCTGTAATTGTGACCAACAAAGATTGGGTTGTTATCAAGTTTATACTGTAGCAGAGAGCACAGATAAGAGCCTGTGACAGGACTTCAAGTGGGTAGTCAGGAAATGGTTTTCTTTTAAGGAGAATTTTAGATATGCAAAAATAAAATAGGTTTACAAATCCCCGTGTAAGTATCACCCATCTTCAACAATTATCAATTCATAGCTAATCTCTCTTGCCCTATATTCCTATGCATTACTTGCCCAAAATAATTTTGAAATTTACTCCAGACATTACATCTGTAAATGTCTTAAAGACATTACCAAAATATCACACACACACGTTGAAATAATAGAGAAAGGATTTTGATTCCAAATGATGGAGTAGACAAGACTTTTCCCTATTCTTCCTTCTAAATAAAGCTAAAAATTCTGAACATGATATATATAAAACAAACTTAAAAAGATGATGAAATGTAGAAGAGAAGAAGGCGGACTGGTAAGGGAATCTGGGGAACAAAGGAAAAATACAGTAGTGAGTTCCCTGGATTTCCTTCTTGCTTCATATATCCTGTACTGATTACTGGAGAGGGTGACAATCCAAAAATATTGAGCCCAGATAAAGGCCCAAGAAAAGCCTGCTTTCTCAAGCCAGCAGACCAGCAAAGGGGCAGTGTAATGAGAGAGAAGACTTCTATATAATAACTACTCTACTGTAGCTAAACACCATAGAAAAAAAACAGGCCCCACCAGCA